GGGTTTGAACCACCAACTTTCTGGTTAGCAGTCAAGTGCCTTAGGCACTATGCTACCAGAGCTCCTATTGAGTTACTTAACCCTTCCTTATCTGAAAATCAGAGTACCCCTTCATAGGGTGGTTGTGGGAATTAAACAAGATGTTGTATTTAAGGCACAAGTACCTGGTAAGTGATTGATATATGTTAGCCATGGTTATTGTTGCTGTTATGTTTACTATTACCATTTTCATTATGGTACTACTGTGTAGCTTTATCTTCCACCTGGAAGACATACATGTGGAAAGTTAGAGACCTCAAGTTCCTAGTCTTCTCACCTTCATTGTGGGGTCTAACTCTGCATCCATGTTAGCACACAATTCAGACCCAAGAAAAACAGTATTATTCTACACTGGGAGCCACCCCACAACCAGTGCATTACCGACCAAGAGTATATCCACATATCCAGCATGTAGCTGTGTTTTCCTAGGGAGGTGTCTAAAGCTGAGGGGACACTGGAGAGGACTAGAAGGAGCCCAATACCACATATTCTACTTCTAGGTAATGGCATCCCATGTGACCCTGACCCGCAGCCTTCTGAGCCTTTTCTCCCACTACCACCATCACCACCACCACCACCACCACCACCACACCCTAACCATCCTCCAGACCTATATATGGTGCTTGATCTCCAGTCTACCCTCCCTTCTGGAACACTTTGGCCTTTTCAGAGAAGATACAGGGATAACCCAGAAAAAACAAAGATCACAGGAGGAAGAGCAGAGGATCTTAGGGGCATGAGAACCAGTGGTATCAATGTTTTTAGATTCTTTTAATCCTCTCCTGTAATCTCACACCAATAATCAATATGCCCATCTTCACAGACAAAACATCTCTCTCTCTCTCTCTCTCTCATACATACATAAACACACACACATATACATACACACAACACACCCCTTAGGAGAAGCTATTTTCCCAGTTAAACTAATTCACAACAATAATTTGAAATATAAAATAGACTCAGAAATTACTGGCAGGCTTATAGGTGTTGCAAAAGCTAAAAATGGCTACGCAAATCAAAAGAAAAAGAAGGCTTCCCAATACCGTGCCCACTAACAGGAACTGGGGCTCCTTGGAAAAAGGAAGATTCCAACATCTGGGGCAAGGAATGTACAAGATAAGTCTGGAACATCTTATAGTGTCTGAAAGCAAGAATGCTAGCAAAGACTGAGATGATGTCAAAATTCACAGGAACCAACTTGAAGAGACTGCCCCTACCAAAGATGAGACAATCTGAGCATCAGAAAGAATAATGACAGGATTTGATTAAAACAGGATGACACATGAAAATCCACAAGTCCCTACTGTTATTTAAAAAAAAGACCCTCCTCAAGAAAAAAAAGAAAAAAAATTGTCCCCATCCAGCTCAGTTGATAAGCAAGGATGCTAAAACCATTAGGTCAAAGATTGATGGGAACTGAATTCACATGGCATCAAAAGACTCAGTATTAGTTGCTGGTCACAATGGGAAAAAGTAACAACAATGGCAGCATCCAGGCTGTCACTAGCTTAACGTTATGATCAATCCTACTGATGCAACATGATACACACAGTACCACCTATGAGGAAACCT